TGCGGGCCAGACGGGCGGGTGAGCGCCGAGCCCCGCGGCCCCGGGCAGGGGCCGGGCCCCTCCCCACCTGCCGCCTCTAGACCGGCGACGGAGACCCTGGTGGCGCCGACCTGCGCAGCCTGTTAAGGGTAGAGCCCAGGGAGACTCAAGTCCAGGTTTTAACTTGCTCCTAGTATTTTCCCACCACTTAGTAAGGGAAGCGGGTCCCTAGGGAGTTAGGAATTGGGCTGCTACGCGCCAGATTGGAAGTTTGAAACCAGAGTAGGAGAAAGATACGAGCTTTCTACTTTCGTAGAGTTAGTCTTGGAAACCCTCAGGGGCAGCTCTACCCAGTCCCATAGGGTCGCTGAGTCAGAATCCACCCATGCCAGTGACCAGTAACCAAGAGGAGGTCTGCTTTCGCGGTGGGGTGACAATTGAGCCAACAACAAAATCAGCGGTCAAGCCCACCAGCCAGTTATGCAGGAGAAAGATGAGGCTATCCACTCCTGTAAATATTTAAAGTCTCAGAAACTCAAAAGGGGGGCAGTTCTACCCACCCTATAGGGTAGCAGTCGACCCTGCGGCAGACCCTTTAGCTTGGTTAGCAACCGAAAAGCCCTGGTGGTGAATGGGTGACGAGTTGGGCTACTAACTACCAAGGACCCGAAGCAGGAGAAAGATGAGGCTGTCTGCTCCCTTAAAGGTTTAGTCTCTGAAATCCGAAAGGGCCCGTTTTACCAAGCCCTACAGCACGGGAGTGGGGATCCACTGGAGGGCAGTAAAGCTTGTTTTTGCCGCGGTGGCCCAATGCTTAAGCACTTAGCTGAAAACCCAAAAAAGGCTGTGGTTGGAACCCATCCCCAGCTGCTCTGTGGGAGAAAAGGTCTTGCCTGCCCCACCCCCCAACCATATTGCCTCCTAGAAAACCTTACGGGCAAAGTTATACTTTGCCAAGTGGGGTTGCTGTAGTGGAAATCAACTTCATAGCATGCAACCCCATCGCACCCTCAAACATAAAGACTCTGGGGAGGATTTTGGCCAAGTTAATGAACCTGGCAAATCGCTGGCAGTTTATATCACAGAAGAATAATGAAGCACCCAACTGTACCAGGTCACTGCATTTAAATTCGGGGTCCTGAAAAATGAGAGTTGATGATAATGCGATTTCTCATTCTTTTCCTTTTAAGGGATTTGTCTCCCACTGTTAACATCTCTCACGTGTTTCCCTTGTTCTGCTCTTTAATGTGTGATCTAAACGATTTTGTAATTTTGTTACATAAAGCAGCAGCTTTGGGCCTCAGGTCTCTGAAGACAGAGCATGGCAGGGTGACAGGCTGCTGGGCTCTGCCTCAACTTACTCTCATTCTTGAGTCTTCAGGAGTGCTCCAGCACCTGCCTGGGGCATGACTACATTTCCTGTCCTGTCTGTGCATATGGGGTTTGGTCCTGGGAAACCCTGATGCTGGCAGTGGGAGGCCCCTCCAGGTAGAAATGCCAGTGCCCCACTTGGGTTTTGACTTGCAGGCGATCCCCATTGGTCTCTG